GGCATTAGATGACAGTGCTGCTGAGGAAGGGGGGTAGTTGGAGATGATCCCAAGGCTCTGAGCCTGGGTAACTGGGAGGATGATGGCACCTTTAGCTATTTAGGGAACCAAAGAGGAGCAGCAGGTAAGAGAAGAAAGAGGATTCGTTCATATTTGTAAATGAATGTGTTTAGTATTCATCCCCCAAAGCTCCTTTCAGCTCTTGCCATGGAGAAAACAGATAAAGCTCTTTCCTTGGGAAGCCTTCCCAGCCCCTCCAACCAGACAGGTTTTGGGAGAAGGTGCACAGTGTTTCCCTGCCCCTCCACCTGCTGCCCCTGGGAGGGGGCTGAAGCATCCTTTCTAGTCACCTCAGTTAGCAAAATCAACTCCAATGCTCCGTAGCAATTTGCAAGGCTCAGTCTGTTCCGTCCTCCTGCAAATGGAAGAGCTGGCCCAGAGAGCTGGGACTGATGTCTTGGGACTTTCTTTCTCCCACCTTCTGTACAAAGGATTTGTAAGCATCTGCAGCATTTGTGAAGCCTGTGTAAACTCGGGTCCCTCGCACTCCGCCTTGGCTCCTCCTGAAGGTGTCCACGAGGCAGGTGTCTCCCGTGAGGAAGACCAAGGCTGCAGCCCTCACTGGGGCCTGGGCCTGCCCAGACCAGGCTTTCAGTCATTCCTTTATTGTGTCTTTCTTAACAGAGGTACTAGGTACTGCAGAAATAGATGAAAGGCAGAGTCTGCGGCCTTAAATTAAGAGCACACAGATGGTAAACAAACCATGGCAAAGCACTGCCATGTGTCAACACAGGAATATGTATAAAACCAAGCACAGGAAACCCATGTTGGCGGGGAGAGGGGGGAACGGAGAAGATGAACTTTTTTCTGAGAGTCAGGGAAGGCATCAAAGAGCATAACTAACACTTGAGTCGAATTTTGAAAGCCAAGGAGGAGATCGTGGATAGGCAGGGCGCAGGGCACGCGGAAGCAGGTCCCGAGGGAGAAGGGACCAGCTAGTGGGGCCCTTTGCAGAGCTGGAGTCTAGGGGACGTGTGATTGTCAAGAGTAAAGGCAGGAAGTGGGCAGAGACCAAATCACGGAGGGCCTTGAGTGCTGTGCTGGGAGCCTTCTAGTTTATCCTGAAGGTCGTGGGGAGCCGTGGATCAACTGCAGACATGAGAGTCACAAGAACTGTGTCCTTACTCAAGAGCAGTCCTGTACTCAAGAAGGGCTCTGATAAATCCATTCATTATTCTGGGGAATAAATGACTCTCAGGTCAGATAAATGAGCTCTCAGGTAAAGACAGCTCCTGGAAGAACTTCCAGGCATGAAGCAGGAGGTGGGAGCTGTATTTGCTGAGGGAACATGCTGGGCATCGCTGTAGGTGACGACAGGCCTTTGTTTTAGGGAAAGAATTGCTTCTCAGAGGAGAAATAAAGTGGATGTTCCTGCTTCTGACTTTTTCACCACTCAGAGTCTGGGCATCAGAATTCTGCCCCTAGAATTTGGCTGGGACTGTTTTGGGGAAATAGCACCCTCTAGAGGGAAGAGTTTGCATGTTTTGGGTAGGGCAGCAACAAACTATTCCAGAGCTTTGGCCCGCTTCCTTTCCCAGGGGCCCAGCCAGCTTGGGGGTGGAGCAGAACTGATTGTTTATCCGATTCTGACTCTGGCCACCGTGGAAAACAAAGCTGCCTGGCTGTGGGAGGCGGCACAACAGCTGGGAGCGACAGATAACAGCTGGAGGTGGCAGATATAAAGGTTGGCAACTGCAAAGCACAACAGCTGGAGGCGGCAATCACAACAGCCAGAGGCAACAAAGAAGCTAGGCAGTAGCCCAAAACTCCAGAGCCCATGAGTCTAAGAATAGCTTTACCACTGGGCTCTAGAAGCTCTGGGCTGTCTTCTCTGTCTCAGCTGTGGTCCTGTATACAGGGTATCACAGAGGCACCTCCTGAGAGCATGAGACCTATGAGAATAAACCTGGGGTACACAGAAGCAGTTGCTACAATTAAAAAGTTCTGCACCAGGAGCCGGAAGACCTGGGTTCCGGTTCCAACTCTACTACTCACCTGCTTGGGGCAAATCTCTCTGAGCCTTAGTTTCTAATGATGTTTTTCCTACCTCATGGTGTGACGACCACATTACATATTTTGTCAAATTTAACATGATAAATGATCATAGGCTGTTATTGTGGGAATGATAAGCAAGGCTTTCCTTGGGTCCCAAGATCTTCCATTCTTCCTGATATGCAGAATCTCCCCTCACCACAAAGCTAGGACTTCACTGAAGCTATCCTTGAATGTCACCATGGAAAATGCGGGTGATAGAGGTGGGTGGAGGAGGCAGATATCTTGATCCTCCAGCAGTATAAGTGGAAGCTTAAAGACACTCATCAACCTCCTGTCCAAAGCTTTAATCTCCTCTACAGAACGTCTAAATGCTTGTCCATCCTAGCCCTGCACACCTTCAGAATCAACTACTTCTCATTCTAGAGACTTTAATTCAATTAAAGTAGTTTGAGATTGCTTTGCTTTTTTGGCAACTAAACCACATGAATAACTCATACTGGATTATTTTCTGCTAACATATTTAATTTTTCTTTTTCATGGTGCTGCTTGCTTGCTAAATCCCATCTTCCCAATTGCTCAGGTAATTTTTGGACCCAAGTACATAATTCAGCATTTATCCTTTTTATTATATTTGGCTCATTCATTTGGCTCCTTTTGGATCCTAATTCTGCCCCAACTCTTGCATTAGTGACCTGTCCCAGCTTTTTGTCAGCCATGTAATTGATGGCCATAGTGTTCTATAATTTTGAATGAAATTAATGTTAAGAACATGGACTAGGGCAAGGCCAAAGATAAAGCTCTCTGGAATATCATTATAAAAGTAATTCCAGGCTCTCATGGTCCACTCAACAGTATAACTGATTTTTTAAGACACTTCATTAGATTAGCATGCTGTTCATTTTTCTCTATCTTATCCCCCAGGACATAATGAAAGATCTTGCCAAAAATCTTACTGAACCTTAGGTACACTTTATCTATTGAATTTCTCTGATTTGTCAATTTAGTAACCTTATTCTCAAAGAAAATTAGCTTATTTTGTTGTGACTTTTTCTTAGTGAGCCCACACTGGGTCCTAATGATAACTTTCTTTCCCCTACCCTGCCTAAGTACTCACAATCTTCATATTCTATTCTAGAATCTTGCCTAGGATCAATATCTTACCTGTCTGCAGTTTGTATAACATGCCTCATTTTTCTTTTTGAAAATTAAAATTATGTTCACTTATCTCCAACTTTCCAGCACTTCCTCTGTTCTCTAATACTCCCCAAAATCTCTTATAGAAGTTTACATCTTCTTTTCAAGAGTTTGAGGATCAAATGAGAAGGCATGCTAACGTGTGAACTCTAAAGTGGTATAAAGATATGGGTATTGTGGTGGTTGTTTTGTTATTATTACAGCAACTGAGCACTAAATAGGGCTTTAATTTGACTCTAAATATAAGCTCTTCAAACTTCAGAGTTTTTGAGCTTCCTTTTGTTCCAAAGTAGCCAAGGATATTGGAGAGTGAACAACATCAAAGTCTGGTTGCGTAGTCTCACATGGACAAAAGTTCCAAGTGGTGTAGGGCTGGGAAAATGGGCATCCTGTTTGCCTTGGAACATTCTTGGGATTCTTATCCATTGGTGATCTCCAGTCCAGTGCCTACTTGGATTGGCATATGGATGGACCCAAATAGTTCAGAGTTTTCCAGGGGCAAGGCCATGGGGAAATAGGGATGGGGAGCAGTGTAAAGAGAAATGATAAAATACAATGGGTAAAACTTTTTGGAGTGAAGAATGTGATGGGCCTCTGTATTCTCCAAGAAAGGCCAATTCCCCAGAGATCACCCTGCTCCTTCCCAGAAGATCTGGCCATCATATTCAGAGTCCAAGGGCTCAAGTGATTAAAATTCTTTCTCAGTTGGAAAAGTACAAGTTACTCCTTGGGCAGGGATGCCAGGCAGCTTGTATTAAGTGTACTGTCTCCTATTTCAGTGCCTTGTCCCACTTTCTACTATCAGAACAAACAGCAATCCTGAATTTGAGCCTGTGCAGACATATCTGCTACTTAACTTACACTCCTAACTCTCCTACTTCACTCAGTCAAGACAATTTTGCCACCTACAATCTGGCATTTCTGCCAGTCCTTGGGAAAATGTCCCAGTGCTACCAGGAAGCTTCAGCATGTTGTTTGTCCTCCACCACTGCTTATTTCTTTTTGTTCAAGTCCTGTCTGTGTTCCTCCTACCACCACCTTAGACTCTAAAGCAAACCAAATTTCTAACCCAGATGAGGCAAACAGATGATGATGATAATGGTGATAAAAAATATTTCACCAAGGGCTGCGTGCTTGGAAAACATCTCAAAGAGTAGAAAAATGGGCAGTTTCTGCTATTTTCTGAGCCAGATGAATATCTTAGTATTATTAGTGGGTATGCACTTGAGGGTAGAAGGGAGAATGAAGAAATAAAGGGCATGTGTGTGTTAAGGGGGATTGGCCTGGAAGCATTCCAACAGGATAGCTTTCAATGAGGTGGGGAGGAATCTCTTTCAAATTAGAGATCTTCACAGAACTGGTTTTGTGGTGAATGAAGGTCAGTAGGGCTCTTATTAGTCTCATCCCTACCTTTAAGGAACCGCGAATTTACTATTCTTTCTCCCCTTCTAAGAATTACAAATATCAGACTATATTACAATTATTTGCTTATTGAGCGTGTGTCTTTCTCACCTAGGCAGTGAGGTCTGGAGTGCAGGGATGATGTCATTTTCATCTTTGATGTCACTTACCAGCACCTTGCATAGTAGCTAGTGTAGGTAGTGTAGTAAGAGCTCACTAAATATTTGCTAATAAAAGAACAAATAAGTGGCACTCAAATGAATGTTAACTCCTCCTTCCCATTGAGTGGTGGCTAGGAGTTGGCTGGATTTCTACACTAACCTCCATTGTGCTGCCTTGTCCCCCTCCAGATGACGTCAGTTGCCAAGGTGTATTACAGTCAGACCACTCAGACAGAAAGCCGGCCCCTCATGGGCCCAGGGATACGACGGCGGAGAGTCCTGACAAAAGATGGTCGCAGCAACGTGAGGATGGAGCACATTGCTGACAAGCGCTTCCTCTACCTCAAGGACCTGTGGACAACCTTCATTGACATGCAGTGGCGCTACAAGCTTCTGCTCTTCTCTGCGACCTTTGCAGGCACCTGGTTCCTCTTTGGAGTGGTGTGGTATCTGGTAGCTGTGGCACATGGGGACTTGCTGGAGCTGGGGCCCCCGGCCAACCACACCCCCTGCGTGGTACAGGTGCACACACTCACCGGAGCCTTCCTCTTCTCTCTTGAATCGCAGACCACCATTGGCTATGGCTTCCGCTACATCAGTGAGGAATGCCCACTGGCCATCGTGCTTCTCATTGCTCAGCTGGTGCTTACCACCATCCTGGAAATCTTCATCACAGGCACCTTCCTGGCAAAGATTGCCCGGCCCAAGAAGCGGGCTGAGACCATCCGCTTCAGCCAGCATGCGGTTGTAGCTTCCCACAACGGGAAGCCTTGCCTTATGATCCGAGTTGCCAATATGCGTAAGAGCCTCCTCATCGGCTGCCAGGTGACAGGCAAGCTGCTTCAGACCCACCAAACCAAGGAGGGTGAGAACATCCGGCTCAACCAGGTCAATGTGACTTTCCAAGTGGACACGGCCTCTGACAGCCCCTTCCTCATTCTACCCCTTACCTTTTATCATGTGGTAGATGAGACCAGTCCCTTGAAAGATCTCCCTCTTCGAAGTGGTGAGGGTGACTTCGAGCTAGTGCTGATCCTAAGTGGGACAGTGGAGTCCACTAGTGCCACCTGCCAGGTGCGCACTTCCTACCTGCCAGAGGAGATCCTTTGGGGCTACGAGTTCACACCTGCCATTTCACTGTCAGCCAGTGGTAAATACATAGCTGACTTCAGCCTTTTTGACCAAGTTGTGAAAGTGGCCTCCCCTAGTGGCCTCCGTGACAGCAGCGTGCGCTACGGAGACCCTGAGAAGCTCAAGCTGGAGGAGTCGTTACGGGAGCAAGCCGAGAAGGAGGGCAGTGCCCTTAGTGTGCGCATCAGCAATGTCTGATGGCCGGTTCCCACCTCCCCATCCCTCTGGTCTGTCTTCCTCTCTTTCAGTGCCCTGAGTAAGGAATACTAGCCGGGCTTGCTGGAGATCCCCAGAAGCACCCATCCTCCCCTTTAACCCAGTGGCCTTGTCAGTAATCTAGGCCACCTGGAGTCCGAGTTTCCCTCCCATTGTCCTCTTTTGCCTCCTCCCGCCCCCTGCTTCCACCCCAATACACGCACCCCCCTTAAGCCAGGATGGGGGAAAGAGAGGGATTAGGCTGAAGTGGCCTAGAAGGCCTCAGCCATGCTTGGAGACCCACATTAGGAGGACCATGCAGTTGGATGGACAGACTCCCCCCAACACCTGCCACCAGCAGAAAGTTTGCTGACTAGAGGCTGGAGCCCCCTCCATCTCTATCTTCCCATCTAGCAAGTTCCCTAAGGCAAGACTCTCTCTGATGGTCACTTTGGGGTCTGTGCCCTCAGAAATATAGGAATCTGAAATCAATTTATCTTGGGCCCTGTTGAAAGAAGCCAGCATTTGTCATGGTGTAGCTAATTTTTGCTAGTAACTCCTGACCATAACTCAGGACCATGGTCACTACTATTTTCCCTTTCTAGTTTCTCAAGTGGACTCTCTCAAGATACCCAGTTCTCTCATAGCCTCTGTCCTCAGAGAACTGGGTTTGACCCAGAAAACATTAGCATACAAGCACCACACCTGTACCCATCCTGGATTCTGAACTCTTCAGTTTGGAGTGACTCATTCAGAGCTGTTGTCCAAAACTTTGAATCTATACTGCCCTGGGAAGATTTGTTTCCCTGTGCCCTGTCAATGGTAGGACCCTAGCCAATATATTCCTTTGAAAAAAGTCCAGTGCCCAGGCCCCATGGAAAAGTCTGAAAATGTTACTTCAGATTACATTGTACCTGGCTTCTCTAATTCCTTTCCTGCCCAGCCCAGACCCTGCTTCCCTTAACCTCAACTGTTTGGAGGAAGGGAGGGAAAATGCAAGGGCCTCATTCCCTTAACACTGTTGCTCAACTAAAACCAGATTCACAGGGAACAGATTCCCCAGGAAAATTAAACCAACCCCACCAAGCGGGATGGCTTCCAGACTACCGTGACAGAGCCTCTGGCAATTGGTGATGCTTTGTTACAGCTTGGGCAGAAGCAGAACTCTGTGGCTGGCAGCCACTATCCTCCCTGTGGCACTCCTCGTGCCCTTCTGAAAAGTGCCAGTTATTTCATTAGGTAATGTTGGGAGAGAAGGAAATTATATACTTCCTGATCAAATAACCATGGTCTCCCTCAGTCATTCCTGAGGCTTGGCATAAAATGATGAAAATCAGTGTCATCTCTACTGTTCTCTGCCATGAGGCCAGTTTCAGGCAAGTTAAAAAGGCATACTTTAAGAGATTAGGCTCAGGCCATTCCTTGTTCCCTGGTGGGGACTGTGGGAGGGTTCAGGGACGGTAATATAGACACCAGAACTTTCTCTGAAGCCCCAAATCTCAAGAGTGCTTTTGGGTCTCATTTAGGTACAAGGAACCCCCACAAAATGGTTTTGCAGAGTCCCTGTATGAATCAAGTGGCAGTTTATGTAAGGTGGTCTCAGCCAGCTATTACAAGCTACATACTCATACAGAATATATACATGTATCTGTGTGCAGAGCCTGGCAGAGAAACTCATAAAATATTGGGGCTAGCCCATGATCACCACCTACTATAACTGCGCAAGGTCTTATTATATCAATCTCTCTTTGAACTCAACTAACTATATCTTGAAAATGAAGACCCTTCAGTCTCTACTTACTGTAAACCCCACCGTTACTCTCTAGCCACCATGAAAACAAGAACCAGAAAAACTTGAAAATCTGAAACAGAGAACAGAAGGCAGAGAGCCAGCTTTGTATGCTCAACTTTATTCAACATTAGACTTACTTGATTTCTTCCAGTGTGTAAGGGCAAAATGTACTGCAGTGTGTGCGTGCGTGTGTGTTTTATCCATTGGCAAGTTATCCTTCCTTTAGTTTCTTCTGCATACTGCTTCCCTCCTGAAGGAAATACTCTCTTCCCATTCCTCTGCTGTAATTCTACGCCCCCAGACTCTCCTCAGATTCTTGGATAACAAAATGAGAAGAGAACATTTTCTGACTTACCCCCTTTGAATTGCCTCCATTATCCCAGGCTTTGCTCTAAGTTGCCCTTTAAATCATACTGTCCTATTAATGCAATCTGGCATCTTCTCCCATAAGCCCCCCACCAGGGAACAATTCTCACAACCACTACCCCTAAATTGTTCTTTAAACTACAGCCTGTCTCCTTTGACCTGAAATCCTTGTTCAGACAATAGGACAAGCTTGAGAAGCAGCAAGGTCTGATGAGAAATGGGCTCCCATGCCAACCATGGACTTGAAATGTCAGGAGAGTACTAGGGACAGATGTTAAGGGGGCAGTTTCAGAAGATGGGCAAAATAACTGATGGGAATGGACACCAGGATGTAAAGATGAGAAAATATGACACTGAGGGACCTAGTGAAATCAGTGAGATTCTTGAGTCTTACTTGGGCTAGCAAACAAGAGGTGGGTGGAGGCTCGGGGAATTAGGATGTGCCACATATGAAAAGTTTATCTAAGGAGAAAGAAACAGAGATAATATATATATAGAAAGATGTATATAGATGTATATATGCCCAAATATACTGAATGTACAGAAAGGAAGTATTCAGAGACCTTAGCACAGGGGACAGATATCTTGTTCTGGTTATGGGGTAGAATGCCAGATTTTCAGACTTACAACCAGTGATCCTGGTTTCAACATGGAAGTGAGATGGCTGATGAAGGATTTCAGATTTGGCGATGGGAAAGGGAGGGTTGGAAGCTGCTCTTCAGAAATAAAGAGGCATCCACTGAGGCTGTGCTACTAATAGGACCAGGAAGTGAGCAGCTAGGAGGACATTGGGGAGGGGAGAAATCCCATCCATGGAAATCTTGGAAAATCTACCACTTATACTGTGTGTCCCCATCCCCAGCAGTGTCCTGCCACTGTAGCACCTTTTTAAAATAAAATAAAATAAAATAAAATAAAAGCACCTTTTTGTTTCCATTTCATGAAGTACACTGCATTTCCCCCTTCTTCCACATGGGTGGGAGCAGCTGCAGCTCCAGCCCCTGGAATTAAACTGAGAAGCTGACACTTTGGTATATAGGAGGCACTAAAGGGAAGCTCAACTCGAGAATCCAAATGCCAGGACGGAAGAGCTGTTGGACCCAAGATACTCCCAGCCCTCGATGTGGCTAAAAACAGCCCAAAGAGAGTGCCATCAATGCCAGAGGAGTCCCAATACTGGCATTGGGCATGCTATAGTTTTGATGCTTCTCTATGAAAATGAGGAGTGGGGTCACCAACTTCTCTAGGGAATGGTGCAGTTTCATGCGAGACTTCTGAAATACCTACATTCTGCTTCACCTCATTATCCCTCCAACTCCTGCCAGCTAATAGGATCATCTGGGGATATCCCTATGAGGTCTAAGCAACAAAAGGAAGCCAGTTATACTATTGCTACAAGCCCGAGACACAGAGCCCTCATGAAGGCTGCTACCCTGGTCCTTTATTCCTGCTAGCTAACCTAGTTTATTTGTAAAATAACACACTACCTTTGCTGTAAAGTTAGCAAGTGCCTCCAGGCTCAGTGATGGCCAACTCTACTGAAGCAGAAGTACCTAGGGATGGATTTTCCATTCATTGCATTAAAGACTAAACCAGGTCAAATGTACCTAGGAAAAAAAGGTGTGAGATTTTTTTGGTTTGTTTTATTTTATTTTTGTCTGTTCAGAAAAAGCTACTAAATAAAATGGATGCCTCTGTGGTTGTCACTCTAGCTTCTTTTAGACATCTAAACCAATACTGTGATCAACATCTGAGCTCACAGGCCTACGCGTGGGAGAGGAGGGTTCAATTAGGCTGTGCAGGAAGAACTTCTGACTGTGTGGTCAGGCCTCTTCCATTTAATTTTTCTCATGCTTTTCATTAATGATATCACCCATTCCTTCCCCTGCTTTCCTACACCTCCCCTCATTAACTTTAGGATCTTTTAGCAAGTGCCTTTAAAATTCAGTTTTTAAGGGACAAGATTTAAAAATCATTAAGACTGGCCAGGCGAGGTGGCCTAGCACTCTGGGAAGCCGAGGCAGGTGGATTGCTCGAGGTCAGGAGTTTGAAACCAGCCTGAGCAAGAGCGAGACCCCTGTCTCTACTATAAACACAAAGAAATTAGCTGGACAACTAATATATATAGAAAAAATTAGCCGGGCATGGTGGCGCATGCTGTAGTCCCAGCTACTCGGGAGGCTGAGGCAGGAGGATCGTTTGAGCCCAGGAGTTTGAGGTTGCTGTGAGCTAGGTTGACGCCACGGCACTCACTCTAGCCTGGACAACAAAGCGAGACTCTGTCTCAAAAAAAAAAAAATAATAATAATTAAGACTGAAAATTGGCTCAGCTTAATCCAGGAAAGTCAAGTTGCTTTGCATCCTGGACATTGTCCCTTTTGGCCAGTAATCACAAACTCAGTTTCCCTTCTGTGCTACCATGCAGACTTTTTTTTTCTGGTTTTCCTTACATATCCCCAAGGCTCTGTACCCCTATTCCTTTATTCATCAGGCATATCTTCCCCCAAATCTCAAATAAATGAATTTCTCCCCTACCTTATCTATTACTAGCCTGAGAAAGGTCTGGCTGTTAGTATCCAGGCCCAAATTCTCTCTGAGGAGAAGCAAGAAATTTTACAGTCACTGACTCTTGTTCTCCAGAAATGGAAGGATACAGGGAAGAGGAGGGAGAAAACTGGTTCTCTCATCATCATCATCAAAAAACACTTATGGGGGGAGGGGGGGAAATGGGCATTTATTGAAACCTTAAAATCTGTACCCCCATAATATACCAAAATAAAAAAAATAATTAAAAAAAAATTAAATAAATGAACAAGAAAAAAAAAAACAAACACTTATATACAACATTTTGAAAACACTAGGAATGAGTCATATCTCTTATATGAGATATATAAGAACATGAAGTGTACAGTTTCTAAAAGTTTGAAGAAACCTACAAACTAATGAGGAAAGAGAAATAAAATAACAAGTAACATACAACAAATAATACTAAGAACAATAACAAGTAGCATATACTACTGCCAGATATAGTATTCAGAGCATGTTCTAAAAAGAGTGAACATGCCATGGCAAACATGTCCCAGGGACAGGCACGAGGCAAGGGATGGTATTAATCTAAGAGGTCTAGTTAGGACACATTTGACTTAAGATTCAAGAAAAGTCAGCAAATATTTACTGAGTTCCTATTATGTGGAAGGTACCATTCAGCTAAAGAAGAAATAAGACATGATACAGGCCATCAGTGGGTGTACACGTGTGGGGCTTTCCACCTGTTATCCCTTCTGTGGAACTTTCTCCACTGCTGGCCAACCCCCAATCTTGTTAACTCTTACTATACCATCTTAGGTCAAATCCTGTTAAAAGATATAGCACTAAACACAGCTGCAATTTTACATTACTTGAGAACTTATTTGGCCAATGTCTCTCTCACTCACTAGACTTTATGTGTCAGGTGAATGGGATTCACATCACGTGTTTGGTCACCAGTACAGCTCAGCACCTTGCACAGTGCCTGGCATGTATGATGCTCAATAAATGTAGCAAGAGGAAAGGAAAGAAAAGAAGGAAAGAATTTGCCTAAAGTATGCAGTGGAGCTGGTATATCCTATTAAATAACTATCAAAGATTTAGATAACATATTTCACAAAACACGATTTAATTAACTGTTAAAAAATAGAACAGACAATAAACATCACTGGGAGGGAGAGACCATTTGCACTTGTTAAGTTCTAGGAAGAGTTTACAGAGGAGTTGAGGTTTGAGCTCAGCACTGAAGTACAAATAGCTTTTAAGAAAGTGAAGAGAAACAGGATTTTTTTGTAGGTGGTAAAACATAAGCAAAGTATTGTAGGAAATAAGTACAAAGCATATTTAGGGAACAGTTAGTAAACCTAAAACAGAGGGCTTTATAGGTAAATAAGTTGAAAAGATAAGGTAAAACCTGATAATGGAGAGGTTCAAATGTCAGGCTAAAGAGTTATTATTTTTTCTTTAGGCAGTAGGGAACCACTGAAGATGTTTGAGGAAGGAAAGAATCTAAGTAAAGTACTATTTATGAATATCAATTTGGTAGTAGAATTGAGACAGGAGATACTATATCAGTTAAGAGACTTTTAAAAGCTTGGAGGAAAGGTGATTCCATAGATCCTAGTATAGTATAGATGTTCAAATACATATTATTAAATTGAGTTGTTGAAGGTTCTAAACTAAGGTGCAGGATGCTGGGCATAGAAAGAATTAGGAATACATTGAAAAGAAATTACAAAGCAGGACATATGAACAAGGTCTAGCTTAAAAAAGTGTTTGAATTAATCAGGGTTCTGGCAGGAAACAGATGGTATACTCGAAGGGCTAATTGGACATGTTTTAATGAAGGGATTATTTACAAAGGTGTGGGCAGGTTTAATAAATCAACAAAAGATGCTGAAGCACCCAGGGACTTGCAAAGTAGGAAGCCTTTACCAGCCTTTAACCTTTAATGGGCCATTATTGGAACTGTTAGGGGTGTACCCAAGGGAGAGGGCCATGGCTTCAATAGGATACACACCTTTAGGTGGAGGAACTCAGATGCTGCTGAAGATCTTCCAATGCCTCCAACTGGCCTATTCTGATGGGAAGCCAGATAACAAGGGAGGTGGAATGAAGCTGCCCATAGCATTTAACCTCTTGGAGCAAAGAACAGGGTAAAAAGGATGGTTAGTGGATATGGAGGGGTAATGAGAGCATATGCAGCATGGTGAACAAGGTCAAAGTCCTGAGAAAACTAGGGATGAGCTATGCATATTTGAACTTTCCCTAGCCATTGGCTCGAAAAGGATGGAAATCTAGGGGCAGACAGTGAAAGTGGGAATTAAGAAGGATTGTAAGTAATAGTCTTAAGAGGAAATGAACAGTTAGTCATTTGAAAAAATGTAGCTCTTTCAGGGAAAGGGGAGATGATAGAGTCCCTAAGAAAAAGCCCAATATGGGGTCTGTGGACTGTGATGCTTTTCTGTTCCACCTAGAAATAGTAACAAATTGGACCTCTCTGTCCATTTGTTTTACAGGATTCCAGCCTCTTCTTTATTCCTACAACTACTATCTTCATCTCACTACTTTCTCTGACTTCAGTGACATCCTTAGTTTCTTTTGATTAGTTGTTTCCTTATGTGCCCAAATTTGGTGCCTCCCATCTCTCTACTATGGCAGCCATGTAGGGACAGATTGGCCAAGGCCTTTCTGCTATACCATCTAAACTAACGCAGCCAGAATCTTTAGTTCATTCTCAGACATCTATTATACTTCCTATATTCTTTATCTTCTGGAATTAAGTCTGACTTATTTATCACTTGCAGAGGAAAAGAATAAATCAGAGATAGAATCACTCTGAGAGAGAATATTAGAAAGATCCAGATAAAAGATCAAGGAGAGGGCCGAGCGTGGTGGCTCACGCCTGTAATCCTACCACTCTGGGAGGCCGAGGCGGGTGGATTGCTCGAGGTCAGGAGTTTGAAACCGGCCTGAGCAAGAGCGAGACCCCGTCTCTACTATAAATACAAAGAAATTAATTGGCCAACTAATATATACAGAAAAAATTAGCCGGGCATGGTGGCACATGCCTGTAGTCCCAGCTACTCCAGAAGCTGAGGCAGAAAGATTGCTTGAGCCCAGGAGTTTGAGGTTGCTGTGAGCTAGGCTGACGCCACGGGACTCACTCTACCCTGGGCAACAAAGTGAGACTCTGTCTCAAAAAAAAAAAGTACTTATACAATGCCAGGCACATTGCAAATAAGTCCTCAAAAAATGAAGCTATTATAAATCATCATCATCATAATTATTATTATTTTAATGGTGAGGTGCTACCACTGTATATATGGCCAATGTACTGCAAGAAAAAAATGCTTAGAATTATTGATCTAATTATACCATGGCATAATTATTTCCCCCTAGGCATATAAGGCATATAAAAGGACATAGAGATATCAGCATATGAATATGCAATGTATAAGATTCATATGGCTCATCCAAAGGATAAATGTGAACTATAGTATGGATGAGTGGAGGGTAGTCCTGAGAGCTGCATGTTCAGACCAGATGAAGTCTTCTCCTCTCCTTATGCCAGTCTAGAAGACTACCCCTAGGAAGCAGGCTCAATCTGTAAAATCACGTCAGTCAGTATTTACTAAACATACCATGTACCTAAGAATACAATAAATTATGAGGAAATGAAAAATATTAAAGGTAAAATATAATTCCTACTCTCAAGAACCCCACAATCTCATTGAAAGAGTTATGAATAAAATCTAAAATAAAGTATCAAATTCTGCAATGGAGACTACAAGTGCAATAAGTAATCACAGAAGGGAAAGAGCTAATGGGCTAGATTCCTTGGTGAGAAATTCATGGAAGTTGGGCTGGAGTGGGGTGGGTGAAGGGGACCAGACCTTGACGTAGGTAAAGGATATTTAAAAAGAAAAAGAACTAGGGGTTAGAAGCACTCCAGGGATGCCACTCTAGAAGTATTCTTGTAGAAGGAGCATCCAAAATCAATTCAACTTTTACTGAATGGCTACTATAAGTTTCGTACTGTGTTAGATGCTGAGGTACAGAAAAGAACAAAATAATCTGTTTCAAGGAACTCAAAGTGCCCCGACGGAAAACTGGGAGAGAGAAACACACAAACAAAAAACCCAGTTATTATAAAGGAATGACCAGCAAGTTTTAGAGCACTCGGATGACAGGCACTGGACAGGACTTACGTGGCAGGGCAGGGTCTTCTGTGTGGGTGATTTTCTGCAGCTTAGAGTCCTTCCACCACAGTCGGACTGCCCTCAGCCCGTTGGGAGGACTGACATATAAATCACTCTGCGTGAAGTGGGCTGACAGGTAGGATAAGCTTCTAGGAGTCAACACTTAAGCTGAGGCCTAAAGAGTTAGTTGAGCAGGTGTTTGCCAGGGTGACACGGAGGGCAACTTTGGCAGAAGAAATACCAAACGCAAAGGTGCTGAGGCATGAGGGCCTGACATAGTTTGGAAACTGTGAAGCTTCCCAGTCTCCCTTCCCATCCCCTCTACCCAGGGTTGTTGGATAAAATAACAAGCTGCCCACTTAAATTTGAATCTCAGATAACCAACTAATAATTTTAAAATGTAAGTATGCCCCAAATATTGCACGGGACATATACACTCTGGGCTCCCTTCAACGCATTCTTGCCGCCCCCCCCGGAGTCCACAACCCCCCTGCGAATACTGGCGAGCTGGTGGAGTAAAGCAAGAGAAGCTATCTCAGGATTGTTTTCCTTTCATTCCTACATTTTTCACTCTCAGGTCTCAGGACTGAGGGATGTAGCTCGCAGCTCGCTCCCAGTCTGCGGTCTGCCTCTGCAGACCAGAATTGGGGAATGTAAGGGAGGGGGGGTCACTCACAAAGAAAGCTCACTCCACTCCACAGAAACAGCAGCCAGTGCCGGCTTTCCCTCCTACCAAGGGACCGGAAATCCCTCCCCTTCCGGATGAAGAAGCAGAAGCAAGGCAGCCAATCCGCAGGAAGGCAATTCTTTGGCTGTGGCTACCGAGATCCCCGCGAGGTGCTGGCGACCGGAAGCAGTGGGGGGCGGGGCTTCATGCCGGAAGTGATGGTTCTGCAGTTGTTCGGTTGGCGCGCTGGCGGCGGGAGATGCGCTGCCGGCCTGAGGCGAAGGGCCGAAGCGCTGGTTAATTTGGAGCTGGGGCCGAGTGCCTGCCGCGCAGTCAGATCATGGGCTCGACCAAACACTGGGGAGAATGGTTCCTGAACCTGCGGGTGCCCCCCTCCGGAGTGTTTGCTGTGGCCTTTCTTGCGCGAGTTGCCCTGGTTTTCTATGGGGTCTTCCAGGACCGGACCCTGCTCGTGAGGTATACAGACATCGACTACCATGTCTTCACGGACGCCGCGCGCTTCATCACCGAAGGGCGCTCCCCGTATCTGAGGGCGACTTACCGTTACACTCCACTGCTGGGTTGGCTCCTCACTCCCAACATCTACCTCAACGAACTCTTTGGAAAGTTTCTCTTCATCAGCTGCGACCTCTTCACCGCTTTCCTCTTATACCGCCTGCTGCTTCTGAAGGGGCTGGGGCGCCGCGAGGCTTGTGGCTACTGTGTCTTCTGGCTTCTTAACCCTCTACCTATGGCAGTATCCAGCCGAGGCAATGCGGACTCGATCGTCGCCTCCCTGGTCCTTATGGTCCTGTACTTAATAAAGAAGAGACTGGTCGCGTGCGCAGCTGTATTCTATGGTTTCGCGGTGCATATGAAGATGTATCCGGTGACCTATATCCTTCCCATAGCCCTCCATCTGCTTCCAGAACGCGACAATGACGAAAGCCTCCGTCAATCCCGGTATTCTTTCCAGGCTCGTTTGTATGAATTCTTGAAGAGGCTGTGTAGTCGGGCTGTGTTGCTCTTTGTAGCAGTTGCTGGACTCACATTTTTTGCCCTGAGCTTTGGATTTTACTATAAGTATGGTTGGGAATTTTTGGAGCACACCTACTTTTACCACCTGACCAGGCGGGATATCCGTCACAACTTTTCTCCGTACTTCTACATGCTGTATTTGACTGCAGAGAGCAAGTGGAGTTTTTCCCTGGGGATTGCTGCATTCCTGCCACAATTCATCTTGCTTTCAGCCGTGTCTTTCGCCTATTACAGAGACCTTATCTTTTGTTGTTTTCTTCATACATCTATTTTTGTGACTTTTAACAAAGTCTGCACCTCCCAGTACTTTCTTTGGTACCTCTGCCTACTGCCTCTGGTGATGCCTCTAGTAAGAATACCTTGGAAAAGAGCTGTAGTTCTCCTAATGTTATGGTTTATAGGGCAGGCCTTATGGCTGGCTCCTGCATATGTTCTTGAGTTTCAAGGAAAGAACACCTTTCTGTTTATTTGGTTAGCTGGTTTATTCTTCCTGCTTATCAACTGTTCTATCCTGATTCAAATTATTTCCCATTACAAGGAGGAACCCCTGACGGAGAGACTCAAATATGAGTAATGTATGTTCCGTATCTTCTGACGCTATTACATTCTGATCTGTATGGACCAGAGGAGAGCTTTGGAAAATTTTTTCTGAACATTCTACGCATTCTAGTGAAAGTTCCCCGTTCCAGCAGAAGTTAAAACCAATGTTTGCCTTTTATATAAAAGTGACACAATAATTGAGGTTCACCCTCTAAGAACTCTTAGGATTCATTTATGTGGGACATGATGGGAAGAAAACGGTACTTGTTTGAAATTGGAAAGACTGGTGAAACTATCAGATGCCGAAAGATTCTTAAAGTAGAAAAATAGAGGAATATAGTTAGAGGCATAAAGTTTAAGCCAGTATTTGTTCCAGTTATACTGTAACTGTCTTAAGCTGTCTTATCTTTTAACCCTCACTTTTTCTTTCTGAAGCTTTCCTGACAACTGTGAAAATTCATAAAGTATTCCTGAAGTATATAGATTTTTACATACAAAGGATTAACACTACTGTGCTTAGTTGGGAAAGTTTTTGAATTCTGTATTAAGTGTGGGGGCTTAGAAGATAAATAATCCAAAGAATTTAAATTGAATCATGTTTCATGTATTTGTTTTATAACTTAGTTTTCAGCACTCAGTCTCAGTGGCATTATATTACCATTTGGTTTTATACAAAAAGTATTAAATTTAAATTCATTCATCTTTAGGCTTGAGTTGTTACATTTTTAAAAATGTCATATTTCTTTTTATGTTTGATGTCCTTAAATACATAAACTATTAGAGCATTTTAATACACTATCCTTTTTTTTAAGTTTCTATTAGCTAAAAAAAGATTTTTCATCTACAGTTTAAGTCAAGTGTTGTCCATGTTATAAAAATAAATAATAGTAGATTTTAGGTGATAAAACATTAAATTTTTAGGTTGGCACTCTAGCAGGTGAGATGTGTTTTAAGGCATTTCTTAGCTTAAAAAAACAAAACCCCTCCTTTGCCAGCAAAGTAAAAAAGAAAAAGAAAGAGAAGATATAAATAAATAAATAAAACCCCACTTATGAAAATTCCATGATAGAAATGGAGACTTGTGGCCGTTGGGGTGGCTTAAGCCTGTAATCCTAGCACTCTGGGAGGCCCAGGCGGGTGGATTGCTCAAGGTCAGGAGTTCAAAACCAGCATGAGCCAGACCCCATCTCTACTAAAAATAGAAAGAAACTAATTGACCAACTAAAAAATACATATACAAAAAATTAGCCGGGCATGGTGGTCCAGGCCTGTAGTCTCAGCTACTTGGGAGGCTGAGGCAGTAGGATTCCTTGAGCCCAGGAGATTGAGGTTGCTGCAAGCTAGGCTGACGCCATGGCACTCACTCAAATTATTGTTGCCTGAGCAACAAAGTGAGAGTCTGTCTCGGAAAAAAAAAAAAAAGAAATGGAGACTTGTGAGGAAGAAGCATTCTAAAGAGCCATTGGTCTTCCAGACCAGGAAATTGGAGCAGGGGACATTGTGGAAATGAGGCTTTGGTGGGCAGATCCGTTTCCCTTATCACTAATATTTCTGGTGGAAAAAAATGCTTTGAGTTGTTCAGACAAACATCTTAAAAAAATTTTTTTAAACATATCCCATCTAGGTTTGAGACTTCCTAACACTAAAGTATAGTAGCAATGTATGAATATGATTTTGTGATTGTTGTTTTAAAAATGAGTAATGTATTCGATCCCGGGTTTTGGCACCAAAAAACAAAAAAAAAATGAGTAATGTAACAAATTATTTCACAGCCAAACAAACAAACACAAAGCTGGACTTGGTGGTGTGCATCTGTAGTCCCAGCTACACAGAAGGCTGAGACGAGAGGATCACTTGAGCCCAGTAGTTGAAAACCAGCCTGGGCAACATCACTAGACAACCCCGTCTCTAGAAAAAAAAAGAAAAAAAGTTCCAGAGAAGTAGTATATTTCATATGAATTCAGGCCTAAAAAAGCCTTTGAGAATAAGATGTCTATTGGCTGATCATAATTAAGAATGCTGTTACTGGCAGCACTTCTCTGATGGATACCTTCTGGGACCTGCCACTGGAGTGAGTGGTTTTATGTGGGCTCTTGTTTCGATGAAAATAGTGGTCAGTTGTTGAGAAAGATAACCTTCCTTAGAACATCTGGTTTCATACCCTACATTAGGTCTTATCTTGAGGACTCTTTGTATGTGATAGTTCTTTAGTGGTCTTCCAGCCATAGTATCTTACCTATTTACCTCCCATTCTTTCATAATAATTTTTTAAAAATGTTTTTGATAGAGCTGGCAAGGAGGGTGGTAGACAACAAATAGAATTCCATCATCCCAATATAATTGCCTTTTCTTGTATTCTTAATTTTATTATGATATTTACTTAGTAGTTTTTTTAATTCTTTAACATTCTTTCTTTGTTGTGGCTTACTCTTCATACTTAGCATTGAAATTGCTGGACATTATGTATATGTTCATGTTGTACATACATCATTCTTTCTCTGTTAGAACTTTAGGTTGCTTCCTTTTTTTTTGAGACAATCTCTCTCTGTTGCCAGGGCTAGAGTACTGTGGTGTCAGCTTAGCTCACAGCAATGTCAAACTGCTGGGCTCAAGCGATCCTTCTGCCTTAGCCTCTCGAGTAGCTGGGACTACAGGTGTGCACCACCACGCCCAGCTGGCTAATTTTTTCTATTTTTAGTTTCCCAGCTAATTTTTCTACTTTTAGTAGAGACAGGGTCTCCTTCAAACTCCTGAGCTCAAGCAATCCTCCTGCCTCAGCTTCCCAGTTTGCCAGGATTTACAGGCATGAGCCACTGTGCCTGGTCTCCAATTTTTAATACTCTAAATAAGACTTAGCATTTTCTATGTTTTAGATCATTCCCCCAGGACAATCTTAGAAGTCAGCAAATTTCAGCTAGGATCTTTGGAGGGAACTTTACTCTAGATCCTGCCCTGCAAGAAATTCTTTACTGAAAAACGTAGATATTTCTTAAAAGATGCAGAGGTTATTTTGCAATTCAGGTGCTACAAAACATTCAGTAAGTTAACTCAAGAAATGATTTAATTTGGTTTCTTGGGGGATTTTAATTTTTTATTTTTGTTTTCTGGTTTTGTAAAATCTTTTTTGGCTTCTTTTTACTTGCAATCCATTTGGTTTTCTTATGAGTCCTTTGATAACTCCTTAAAAATTGTATAGGACTTTGGCTTATTTCCTATGTATTCTTTTGTTCTTATACTACCTCTTAAGATCAGTATACCCATTTACAGATAGGCATTAATTATTAGATTAATGGCCGGTGGTAATCTCTGTTTTATCTGGTAAGTTTTCCAGACAAAAGATTGTACATGTTTGGATTCTTAATATCCAGCCCTCTCTCCCTCCCTTCCAAAAACAATAGCTGAATAACTTACATCTTGATGATGGTAAGTTTTTCTCAGTTAACCAATTTTGGGTACCTATTCTGCCATATATAGTTTTATTTAATTTTCACAGGAACACTTCAAAGTTTATATTTATACTCTAATTTTGTAGATGAGCAAAGAGGCTCAAAGGCTAATAAGTGGCAGAGCTAGAATTTGAAGTGATTTTTTTTTTGCCATGCTTTTTTCATTATGTTTTGGATTTCTCCAAAGTACCCAGATCCAGTAGATGAAGAGTGTTGCAAAATAAATGAAACTCAACACTAGCTCTGACAGATGTCTTGCCAGTCAGTTTGTCCTTCCTAATCTTTTAGGTATTTGCTTCAGGGGCAGTTACTTTTCATCTATCCCAAGTTTCTGTCATCTGCAAACTTTTTTTCTTTAATGATTCCAGACTTTTAGCAACTGCCTCCCACATCCAAGTCCTCTCTCGCCAAATTGTGTAATTTTTTTGTTACTGCTGGCCTCATCATGCCCCTTCCCTTTATTGCCTGGTCTATGAAGTTGATTTGCTGAGCCACATATTAGGTCAGCTATTTGTAAATCAAGCTATGGAGAGTATGGGACCAAAATTTTCAAAAGGTAAGTGATTTTGATCATTGTTAAATTTCTCTTGCTTTGCAGTATACATTCTGCATTGTGTATTTGTACAGTTAAAAGTCATCCTAGGCCGGGCGCGGTGGCTCACGCCTGTAATCCTAGCTCTCTGGGAGGCCGAGGAACCAGCCTGAGCAAGAGCGAGACCCCATCTCTACTATAAATAGAAAGAAACTAATTGGCCAACTAATATATATAGAAAAAATTAGCCGGGCATGGTGGCGCATGCCTGTAGTCCCAGCTACTTGGGAGGCTGAGACAGAAGGATCGCTTGAGCCCAGGAGTCTGAGGTTGCTGTGAGCTAGGCTGACGCCATGGCACTCACTCTAGCCTAGGCAACAAAGTGAGACTCTGTCTCAAAAAAAAAAAAAAAAAAAAAAGTCATCCTAGACTGATAGCATAGCATAGGAGAGCATAGACTCAGATAGCTTAGGTTTAAATCTGAACCTTGAGCAACCTTTATCATACCTAGATATGTTAGTTTTCTGTCTGTAAAATGGGGATGATAATTTTATTTTCATAGAATTGTTTGTAAGGATCAGATGAGTTAATATACCCAAAGTGCTTATGCTGACACAGAACAAGCCACTGTTCACAAACTTTTAAAGAAGGAGCTCTTTGGGACTCTAAATTTAAACCTTTTCTCCTCCTATCTAATAGATATAGGGAAGGAACCTGGATGTATACAAAATAATTGTTTTAACTACTTGTTACTGTAAAATTTATTCCTTCTTAATCTGGTTCTTTGAAAAAATAGTAGGTACTTATATGTCAAAATGTAGGGACAGGTTTTTCAGATGTCTGGTTCAGGCTTGACAGTTTTGTGCTTGTGTATTCCTGTCATATATTAGCTGACTCTAAGCAATGGAGGTTTGGTTTATGCCCCTAGAAAAACACCACTTCTTTTCTCCATTGTATAAGGGGTCATTCAAGGGTTGGTGTTCTGAGGATGGAAGCACATGTCTTCTGCCTGGGTCAGAAGCACCACAAGCATTTATTCAGCACTGAACTAGAACCATTCATTTAGTCAAAACAAGCTTTCATATTCATTATCCTGAACAAAAAGGGGACGAAATGGGAACATTTCTAGCTGCTCAGCCCTCTGCTAATTGCTATGTCTGCTATGTAAAATGAAATGACACTTATAGTGACTATTTAAAAATAATTTGGAGCATGAATATTTGAAGCTAAGTTCATTTTACAAAGGAAATTTATAACCTTTGCTGTTTATAGATCCAGGCCATGTAAAATAGATGAGTAAGATGAAGTCCATGCTCTTAAATAGTTAACAGTAAAAACAGAAACATACCCCATTAATAAAATATCATATAAGACCCCATTAGGGTCCACAACAATGCTGTGATTTTTAAAATGGAGTGGGGGTAAGGGAAGGTAGAGGATATTATTATTCCTATTTTCCAGATAAGAAAATTGAGCTCAGAAACAAGTGACTTACCAAGGCCAAATAGCTGGTTAATGACAAGACCAGGGCTGGACCCTAGTTCTTCTGATTCTAATTCTACTTTATTTTGCAAATCCTTAATACTAAATGATGACAGGTGATTACAGTGGGAAATGTCATTTATTTAGCAAATGTCATTCATTTAGCAAGCTGCTTAGCAAAAGGCCCTGAGTGTCTTCCATGTGCCAGGCATTGTTTTAGGCACTGTAGATGAGCTGTGAG